ATAACGGTAAAAAAAAACAAACAGAAAAAAACTTGAATATATGAATAGGAATTTTTTATTTTTATGTTATTCTATTTAGGCTTTAGTGGTTTTCTTGTAAGCGTTAAGCAAAGTTTCTTAGGCATGCTGGGTGATTTCGATCTTGATGCATACACAGATACAACATATAGATATATAAGTGTGACATTACTTATTTCATATATTATTGTTGTCACAATACTTTTACTTAATTTACTTATTGCTATGATGGGTGATACATATGGTAATGTTATTGAAGGTGCAACACAAATATGGTTAGTAGAATTCTTTATTTATTTATTTGTTTTTCTTTTTTCAATTTGAAAATATTTGATTTCTATTGAATTAAATAGGCATTTAGAACGAGCACGTATTGTATTTGCAATTGAAAATGAAATGTCAACGGAAGAACGTAATTTAGACTCAAATAAATATTGGACAAATATTGATGGTGAAAGATATTTACAAGTAGAAGAAGTTGATGATAAAAGTTTTCTTCATGATACTGAAGATGATGATGGTGATGGTGATAAAAAGGATGGTGAAAACGAAGATAATAAATAAAGATTAAACAAGAAACAGAAAAATTTTTGAAATACTAATTTGTTTGGAATCACCGACAAATACCAAAACAAAAGAATTTTTAATTTTTTTTTTTGAATAAATTAGTGAAGAAAAATAGAAAATAAATTAATTTTTATGAATAGCTGATAGTTGCAAAAATAAAGAAAGCAAAATAAAACTTAATGTGATTCACTAATTTTTATAATTAAACATTTGTCAACGTTCATTTAATACAAATCGATTAAAACATACTATTTTAAAACTTATTATATTTATCTAGACCGATGAGTTTAGTTTTTTCAATACTATTTAAAATATTTCGACTGAACTTCAAGCCAATTATAATCTAAATAAGTGATTTTCACAAGTTATTTAATCTCTGATTTAAAAGGATAAAGTCTTTCTTCTACTTTCCTATTCTGCATCGAAATCAATAACAGAATTGACTAATGCACCAAAGAAACAGTGTAGCAGTCTTATGTAAAGCACTGCTCTGATGTAGATGTACACATATAGAATAACGGCGAAGACAGTGAATACATGATAAAATTACGGTGATCTTAGATTCATTTCAACATTTTTGGTCGCAGATGGTATATTTCAAGAAAATAACTAAAGTTTATAAAATAACTATATCACAAGAACTAAATCTTGCCCGAACGAGAAACTTGAATTCGAGAATTTGAACAAACCTCCAAGAGATTCGAATTCCTGGATCCCGAAAATCTTTAAATCTTTTTTTCTTTTTGAATTTCAGTTTTTTATTACAATAGCTTGTCAAATCGAAAAAGTCAATATTAATCCAAGATCACTGTATTTTTATCATGCATTCACCATTAGTCTATACGTATACATGTTTGGATCAGTGAAAAGCTATACACCAGATTGATACATGAATGGAGCAAAGCACCACTGTCACCGTTACATCTCTAGTTCCGAAAAGGCAATAAAGTATAGGCTATTTAAAAAACTTTTTTAATGATACTTCATTAATTAAGTAATAAGTAAAGGTTCTGCTTGTATTATATAAAATTTATGTTGATTTACTAAATAAAATTTTCTCTGTAAAATTCAACGATTTTTATTAACGAATACATCGTTGCAGTCTTGTATTATCATAGGAATTAGATCTTGATGAAGCTTAAAAGGCTTTCGAAAAACTTAGAATTTACTCATTTCATATTATTTGAACGAGTGCATCTAATATTCACATATGTAAAAAAAAAACTATTTGCTAAAGGCATATAATCACATACATTGACATTATATATACGCGATTCTTCTTTTTTTGTTTCTGTTCGTAATTTTTTCATTGTTTCGCTGATATTTGATGATACTCAGTCTAGTTAAAACAACATTCGAAAGAATTGAATCAGATAAGATTGCACGTATACTATTAAAATACGAAATATACAACAGATGGAATTTTATTTTTGACTACACGTGATTTAAAATATCGGATTGTATGAAATGGTGTAAACATCAACTTTTTTTGTCTTCCTCTTCTGATTTCAGTCTACTTGATTGATCAGATGTATAGAGACATTCGAGGTTAATGATTTTATTCAAGTACACCTGTCATGAAGTCACTAAAAAATTACTCAGAAGCAAAATTCCGTTTGACATCGTGTTTCTTTTTATGCTAAAAAAAATCATCGAGAAAGAACGAGAAGAACGTGACTTATAATTCATCATAGAAAAAAAACCATATGAGGGAAACATTATACAATTAAAAGAATATACAATAAAATAACCAAAACTCATGTTTTGATTAATTTTAAGTTAAAATGTAACTATATGGTATAATAAAAATAGTGGCATAGATCATTCTGGTATATTCTTTTATTGTCCATAGTCTAGCGTCATCAATTTGCATGGTAACATAATGTATAATATGTTTTTTTTTCTTCTCTCTTGCTTGTTCTCCGTCTTCAAAGAGAAGGAGAAAAAGGGCAAACTGATGTGATGACTCACATCACTAGCTGACTGTTCGAGGTTACGTAGGTAAAATAAACGCTTATAAAAATAATGAGTCAGAGACAAAAAAAAAACGAAAATTGGATACACTTAGCAAGCTGACGTTTTGAATATTTATTTTACAATTTTTTTGTAGATAATCAATATGAATAATATCTCATTTATTAATAATTTTATCGCTCAGCAACGAAAAAAGTTAGAAAAAACTCTAGGCTTAAGTCAAATACCAACAACTAGATCATATCGATTAGAAAGTAATGGTTTAAATAATCAATCAATGATATCTTCGGTAAGAATTTATTGATATTGATTTTTGGTTCTTTATTAAATATTCTTGTTTTTTTTTTTCGTTTAGAATAATCTTGTTAATACAAAAACGTCCCCAACAACATATGTGTCACTTGCTATACATGATCGTCGACTTACTGATGAAACAAATGCAAAAAAACTCTTTGCTAATATTATTTTATTTTGTCAACAAGTAATTAATTTATTCTATCTTTTTTTTTTGAAATATATTTTGAATCATAATTGTATTATTCCTTTTTCTAGAACAATACAAATTTTGTTGATGATCAATTTCCTCCAATATCTCGTTCTATTGGTCAAATCGATTCACTTATTAATCATCCATTAAAATGGTTGCGAATTTCTGAAATATCTCCATTATCAGTAACAGATCTTTGTTTAAACTGGTCAGTTTATTCATCACCAAAACCAAGTGATATTCAACAAGGTGCTCTTGGTGATTGTTGGCTTATGGCTGCATTAGCTTTAATTACTGAACGACCACAAATGCTTGAACATATACTATTGACAGAAACAATTAATGATCAAGGTGTTTATCTTGTACGTATTTGTCATAATGGTTTATGGAAAACAGTGATTGTTGATGATTGTTTTCCATGCACACAATACAATCAACTTGCCTTTACACAAGCACATCATCGTCAATTATATGTACCAATTATTGAAAAGGCATGTGCAAAATTATTTGGTTCCTATGCTGAGTTAATAAGTGGACAAACAGAAGAAGGTCTTCAATTACTAACTGGTGCACCATGTGATCATATTGATCTTAATCCATCAAATAGTACATTAGATATTGAGATCGCTTGGGCGAAGCTTTTATCAGCTTGCGAATCTGAGTAATTGGTTTTCTTCTTTGCAAAAATTTTATAGAAAAAGAATTTTTTTTTTGTCGTTTTTAGTTTATTAATTGGAGCAACAACGGGTCGTTCGGATGTTAGTGTTGAAGAATATGCTCGAAATAATATTCCAAATAATCATGCATTTTCTGTACTTGCAGCACATTCAATATCAAATATCGCGATGCAATTTGTATTAGTTCGCGATCCACATGCTCATTCAAATTATATTGATGAATTTATAACACAATATATTCTTGATAAATTAAATAATATTAATAGAAACACTGTATCACCAGGTGTTTTTTGGATTTCTTGGCCAAAATTTCTTCGTTTTTTTAATTCAATTACAATATCTTCTTATGCAAATGATTATTATGATATACGTGAAGTAAATCGTTTTACACAATCATGTACAGAATTAATTCCGACATTTCAATTTCATTTATCAAGGTAAATATATATTTTTAATTTGTTTATATTGTTTAATTTTGTTTTAAATATTTGTAGAACATCTTTAGTTAATATTAGTTTAGTATATCATCGTCCAAATCGTCGAATAAGAAATTATCATACACAATCATTTGTATTATGTAATGTTGAGCAAGGACCATCAAAAGATGTTGGAACAAGTCACGCTGTATTATGTACAAGTCGTGGAGCATTTACTCATTGGATTGGTTCATTAAGATCTGGTTTTTATGTTCTGATACCATTTTCAACTAGTTTTTGGAATGAAGATAATCAATCTATCAGAGATTATACTCTAGTCATACATTCAAAAGTTCAAATAAATGTTCAAGTTACTCCTGAATCAGCAACACTTTTAACTGATTGTTTAATTGCTATTGTTTTAAAAAATAATATTCAACCACAAAGGGTTTGTTATTAAAACAAATATTTGTTTTGTTGTTTATGAAAATTTTTGTTTTTCTTTTAGGGAAAAGATTGTAATTATTATGTAACAACAAAAGAATATGATTTTACAATGTTTATTGCTGAAAATTTATCGACAACAGATTTTTTAAATCTTGAAATTGATTTAAATGATAGCAAATATATACGTAATTCACGTAAATCATTATCAACATATGATTGTATACCACCACGTCATAGACAAATTAGTTTTCTTATTGAATGGACTAATGAATATGGACAAAAAGCAAAATTGGATTATTTATATCGATCTCAATTTGTTAAACATGCAAACAATTCGATACCAGAAATTAATAATAGTCAAAGTGATTTTCATTCTTTTAGACCATTTTAATTTATTTGTACGATAAAGATTGTTCATTTATTATCTGTTATTATTGTATTTAATTGTTTGTTTTCATATCGAATTTCATATTTTTTCATTCGCAATATGTCTTTGACATCTTCAGCTAAATCAAGCCAATTCGAATCATCACTAATTGTTGATAAACGATCAGTATTTGATGACGGAGAATTTTCATTGTCTGATTCAGAACTATCACTTTCAATGACAGTAAAAAGACCTAGAAAAAAACAGTGTATATTCAAAATTTTTATGAAATTTATATTATTCGATATAGAAAATTTATAAATTCATTATTTATAATGATAAATAGATGGAAATTACGATTATGGGTTTTACTACATATACATAATAATGTTTGTGATATGAATCGATATATGTTTGATGATATTTTTTGAACAGAGAAAAGTTAAATCGAAACTAGTGATGGAAAGATCCAGAACTATTGATCTATATTTAAATTTATTTTTTTAAATGTTTTATAGGAGTAGATATGGACATGATGGGATTGAGACCAACGCTTCTTCGATTGAAAAGAATATCTTCTATAGTCGTGTATGGCTTGCCTCAAATATCATATTCTCACAATTCGTGTTTTCTAAAAATCAATGCAAAAATTATTTAGCGTCTACACCTGAATACTAAGTTGTCAGGTAATCTGCTACAAGTAACTAGGAAGTCATTACACTAGCATAATCCTTAAGTAGTTATTGTTTACAATAAATACGACAAGGTCCTGTGCCATATAGAGTTGGCATCTAAACCAAAACGTAATGAGAAAAAAACTCTTTACAGTTCATACTACTACAGTGATCTTCTCTCATTAATAAAATAGAAGCTTAAAATCTGGTAATCAGGTGACAGTTCCTAGTTAGATTTTTTTCTTCGAAAACAAGTTAAATCTTCAATATTATAAGTCTTAATGGATTATTTGTCTCGGACAAAACTGTGTTCTGTTAAACGATTAGAAACGTGCACAAAAATTCTTTTTCCAGAGATGTTTCTCTTCATGGATATAGTCTATCGTTTTTGATATAAAATCAATAAAATACTCGAATTCATAGTATAATCTATTCTTGTTTTTTTCTATTTTAAAATAAATTTTAACCTTCTAATTGTCGTTCAAATCTTTGTAATCGTTTTTTCCTATGATGAGTTTTAATATGATAAACAAATATTGGTAATAATTGATAAGGTATACTCAACGGTTGACTAATTTCTAAACGATTATTTTCTGCACTATAATTAATAATATTTTGTTGTTTTATTTTAAATTTTTTATAATTAGGTAAGTAATTTTCCGGTAATATTAAATGAATATTATTTTGATAAGCAATAATTAATTCACCATTTTGTAAAAGAAATTCAATAGCACAAAGTGATTTATCAAGATATATTTCACGTAATAAACTATTTGTATTATCCCATATTTTTATATATCCTTCACTATCAGATGAAGCAAATAATTTTAATTTCGGTGTTGCAGTTATAGCTATGCGAAATAGAAAAAAAAAGTTATTTAAAAAAAAAAATTTGAAGTATAAATACTCTTTTACCTTGTATTTGCCCATGATGATGGCTACCTTTTGTTGGATGTTCAACAATACCCCATTGATTATGAATGCTTGTTCGAATAGAAATATTTAATAATTGCCAAATATGTAAAAAACTTTGATCTGAATAATTAGCAACAATAAAATTATCAACCATAGATAAATATTTGATTGATTCAAATGAAATATTTTTTTCTTGTTCAATAGTTAATATATGAATTAATTGAATACAGTCATCTGATTTATTTATAGTTAAATTCCATAAATAAATAATTCGATCTATACTTGATGAAAGAAGAATTTCACAATTTGTAAATAATATATTTGACATGTCCATACTAGCTCGTGATGTTTCAAGACATAATATTGAATTTTTATGTGCTAATATAGGTTCCATAACTAGTGATTCACCTAAAAGAGACTCATACTATTAAAAGTAAGGAAAAAAAAGAACAATTGAAATAAATAATACCTTGAAAAAGAGATATATAACCATTAGCATGACCAAAAAAGACAACTTGTTTTTCAAGAGATTTTTCTGTTGAAGTTTGCATAGTATGTATATTACAGAGTTGTGTACGCATTGGATTAATCAATGTCATACAAGTAATAGCATATTGTTCTGATTTGGTTCGGATTTTATATTCAGCTACACATGGATTATTATCAGCACGATAAAGAACTATTTCACCGTCAAATTGAAGTAAATAGATACTTGATCTAAATTATATATAATCAAAACTTTATAATCAATAAAAATTTATACACGAATCAATTTGTTTAGATGACATATAAATAAGAATGCCAGTATACATCTTACCGAAATTCAGCAATAGCTATCCGAAGCTATCAACAATTGTCTCAGATGATACCTGTAGTATTAGAAATATTGTAATTTAATTTGTATTGATATTAATTGTACTTAGTAATTATAATGATGTGTCAAATTAATAGCTAACTTAAGTCAATAACTAAGAAAAGACTAGATCGTAATTCATGATGCAGGTATCATAACTGAATAACCATTCTCTCTATACAATATGCATCGGAAAAGCGAATGAAAAGAAAGTTACTGATATAGATCATCGAGAGAAACTGGATGATCTTTCATTTAAATACTATTTATTTCTATGATGAGTTACACAATGAATAAGAAGAATCGAGAATCTCAAAGAAATAATAAAAATAATGAATCAGTAAAATGTTAATGAGTATATATCAAAATCATCTTTAAAGTTGATCACCTTCCAACAAATTCATTTGCTGTCATTCTAAGCAGAAGGATAATCTAATTCTAAGTTCATTTATTGTCATAGTTAATCTTCTTGCATGTAATGACCAACTAGAAGTGAGTATCGGCATAGGTGTGTATCTCAGTGACGAGTAAGCTATGGAGTGTATCAGACGAAATTCATAATCGTTCATGGCCTAGTCAACATTAATTTATGATTGTTGGTACACAAGCTTCTGTACAGTAATCAAGCATAGAGATATTATAAGAATATATAAAATGTGTTACAACTAATTTGTGTAACTTGGAATCGTAAAACTTAATTCTTTTATTTCTTAAAAAAAAATTGTATTTTTCATATTGATTTACATTTCATTACTGTTTCCTCCTTGAAATTCTATATTTCGCTTAAAATATTTAATTTAACCAAAGATAGTTTTTCATTTATCAAAGATGAAAAACAAAACTTTCAAATTTTCCATTTGTCTTCAATTTCGATGATGTTCTTCAATCTTTATGTTATGTTAAAATAGCTATTGTTAAAATCTTTGTGAAATTAAAATATGAAACGCCATCATGTAAGAACCTTTATTTATTACATGAATATTATTTTTTTTTCTATCTATTTGAGGACACATTTCTTCAGTATCTTTTTTGTTTAATCTTCTACAAATGCAATAAAGAAGTAGCTCGTATATTACAATGTGACATTATCGATATGCGACCTTTTATCGTATAATAGCCACACCTGTAACGGTTTGTGATTGTATGTTAATAATGACTGTAATGACCTGTGATGTTTTGGTGGCACTGCCAGTCCCGATATGTCGGAGGGTGAATGCAAATTTCAACTATATGTACTTGGAAACTTCTTTTAGATCGTGTTTCAATACCTGCTAATATCATGTAATATTTGCTTAATCGGTTTCTTAGCTATATTCGACACATAAGTCAGACAACAACCACTAACTGGTGATATAAGTATACATGAATTATCCTCAGATAAAGCAGTAACACGTGCAGTTCGGTGCATATCGGTAAATAATTTCAGTGATTTAATTTTTGTTTTTGTAGTTGAAAATAATATTGTATTTAAATTTAATTTAAAAAGAATAATATGTTTTAATGTACGATAATAAAATAGATTTTCATGAATAACGTCAATTTGAAATATTTCCTCATTTGCATTATATTGATAAAGATGTTGAAGAGTTTCTAAAAATAAAAAATAATACGCATATGTTATATTTTTTTTATTTATTTATGAATTCTATGTACCTAAATTCCAAACATTAATAACATGATCAATTGATGATGAAAGAAGTAAATTTTGATCTTTACTATTTTCTAAATCAGTTATCATTTTCCAATGATAATGATAACGACGTATTGGTTTCATTTGATGTATTTGATAAATTAAAATAAAACCATCTATAAAAGCAAATATTATATAATCAAATTTTGAATTATAATGACAACGAATAAAGTCATAACGATATGGATTACAAAATTTTGTTAATATTCTTTCTTCCGATGTATATTGCCATAAAACAAAATATCGATTTGATAAAAGACCAATAGATCGATATGTTATTACGTGACATATATGTATTATTGGTTCCATTGATTGAAATGGTAAATTAGTAAGTTCAGAAACAAATAATGGTTGAGAAGTAAATTGAAGTGGTTGAGTATTGTATAATAAAACACGACCCATACAACCTGAAGTATATAATAACATATGATCGAAAAATATGTTTGTCATGTTCTAATAATGTTTTCTGTCTAAGATTTTTCTTTTTACACGAAATATGCACATTATGAACGTTCAAAAATCGTATCACAAAAGTATCGTAAAATGATTGATTATCTTTATTTTTTCTTAATTTTATTCAAAGTCTTTCTTTTATTGTTTGGATAATTTGGTTTGATTTTTTTGATTGCAAATCTGTTTTTATCTCTCAATATAATATCATGTGCTTTATCAAGAAGGATATATTAAACAATAATATTCTTTAGGTCAGACCTTCTGGAACAGTTTATAAATTGAACTGTTTTGATAAAAATTAGATTTTTTGTTGAAGAAACTATTGACGTTATTTCATTGGTCTAATATGATCATGCCAACGTTTCACCTAAGGTACCAAAAGTTCGACTTATACAAGACTATTGTTGCATGTTTATTGATAAAGTACATGAGATAAATTGATGATGAAGTTAGAAAATATTTGTAGCAAAGGGGTACTCAGTTGTGTTTGAACCTGAAAATCAGGTATTTTCTTATCTGCTAATCTAGGATCATCTCATTTTGAGAGTGGACTGAATCTTCTCCTCTGGAACCAAACCTGGTTTTGTCACTATAAAACGATAAAAGTAAAATGTGTGAACAAAATTAGGAAAAATTAAAGAACAAGGAATATTTTTGATATTTTGGTTTTGTAATTTTTTAAGTTCATAATGTATGTATTGCATGTAACAACAAAGTCCAGACACAAACCATTATTAGAAATTTTTTTTTATTTGAAAACTTTAGTTTTTCATACCAACAAAAAGCATTGTTGATTCATGTATATAAAGAATGCTATGAACATAATCAGGTATTTCTTGTTTTGATATAAAAATACCTTTACGTGATGCATCACCGATGATTATCATTAATGATTTTTGTTGTTTAATATTAATAAAACTAAGAATTAACCGAAGGATAGGTATACAAATCATAAAATTAAATCGAAAAGGACAATCAAACTCAATTGATTGAATTTTATTTGATGATTTTTTATTGATTGGATATATAACAAGTTTACTGGCTTTTGTTAATGATGAATCTATTGTTAGATTCAAAATTGGTTCAGATACTTGACATTTTTTATTGTTAGATTTATCTGAAATAAAACATTAATATTCATTACTTTTCTTTCTTTTTGTATATCGATTCGCAATATACTACATGATTGAAGTTGTCCTAGATTTGAATAATCTTTTATATTAACTTGTGGCACATCCAAATTGACAACATTACACGTAAAAATATATCCTTGTCCAACATCATAAAAATCTACACATTGATACTGTTGAGAAGAATCAAGCGAAAATTGTTGTATTATTGAAAGACCAAATGTAATCTTTTGTTCTTCTATATTTTCTTTTTGTTCGAATAATTTTTCTATATAATCAAATTCATCTATTCCACTCGGGAGCCTATTATTATCAATGATTTTTCTTTTCGATGGCTCGATTACTGTTGATGTAGAGAATGTATTATCATATGAATGAAGTGTTTTATTTTGAATCTATTTCAAGAAAACAAAAGACAAATTCAAAAGAAAACTGATGATACTTAAAAGAGTTGTTAAAAATACCTTATAGAGATGAACAGCAATAAGAATGCGTACACGTTGCCAGAGTTCGATTGGTGATCGAGTAACATTTACAATAGAATCACTAGGACGAATTGAAGAACTATGTCGATTACGTCGCGTTGTTTCATCATCGAATTCATCGGCAAAATCATTTAAGAATTCTTCTTCTAATTCATGATCGAGATTAGCAAAGCCACCTGGAATATATTCGTCTTTCGAAAGCTTTAAATATAAATATAGACAGATATCACTAGTACAATTATTAATTCAAGCTTCTGTCACCATCAGAGATACGTCAATTTGTGAATCGTAGTTTCAAAGATGACATTTTTTTGTTTAGTAGTGAGGCTTGATTGTCCTATCAATTATTTTATATCAATTATGTTCAACTTTGACTGGTCTATTCGAGTTTATCATTAGATTTTATCGACTCTAAAACATGAGATCTAAAAGTGATTGAAATTGATGAGTTTTTAAATGTAGTTCTGAATACTCGAAATACGTTATTTTGGAGTATGGATGAATAGATCTATTCATATCCCTAGAGCTTCAGTTCAACAGGAGCATATCTGCAGTATTAATAAACCACAGATTTATGCCGGTTGTTCATGTCAGCCGTGATCAACTTTGAACACTTTATCAGATGCTTTAGTTTGCAATCTTTATATAGTAACAATAAGATATAATATTGTTCAATGATAGCTTCAGGTACCACAATCAAAAGTGAGCAAAACTGTTATAAAAAAATTGACAGAAGAATCAATTCTCCATGCTAAAAAATACAATCTTTCTAATCATCGTCCTAGAATTGATTCATTCCACATTTCTAGTCACTATTTAAAAAAACTGAGGTAACAAAACTTCTTTATTGATAGGTCTCGATCGGAATGTTTTATCATAAAAATATTGATGCTTAAAAAATATTTTTTTCTGCTGAATATCAAATCATTAGGACTTCATGCTTATATGACAATTATTGAAAGATACATATGTAAAATCATTATTAGTAGAAGATGAATTTGGCTTTACTTACGAGTTGAGTTAAATCTGGTGTAGTAAGATTGATTGTACCCGAACCGATACCATTATCTAATGAATGTCGGTTATTGGATGATTCTGCCTCTTGTTGATCATTTGAAATTAAGCCATGATTAGGTAATCGAAAATTTACATATGATGTACGAATAGGTCGATTCGAAATCGATTGGAAAAGCGCTGTGTCATCATCAAATGTCACTGTTCGACGAGCATGTTGCTCAGATGATGCAGAATTGATAATGTCATCTGGTAAAGCTTGTGTATTAGTTCCAGTAACAATATGAATTGAGTTCTGATTAAATGATGACAGTGAAGACTTCTGCAATCGTTGTTCTTCATTTTTAACTGTATCAGAATGAATTGCTTCGAGATGCGTATTAAGTCGTTTAGAATCGTCGTCTTTAGGAATGATCGCGTTTAGTGAAGACGTATTTCCTTTGAGAAGAAGATAAGATTCAGTTAGTTCCATCGAAGAATCAATTTTTTTTCCGACAGATAGCTATTTTACTAGAAGACGATGCAACAAAAAATTATATTCGCTTTGTTTGTTGACGTTTTTTTCTGTTCGCTCCTGTTGATTAAATAGCTTTTGAATGACTCATCTCATTATTCATTTATATTTCAAGTAACAAGCGATTTCGATCGTTTGTCTTTAAAATTATTTATAATGTCGAAACTGAAAAAGAACAAAACACACAAAAACTTGCTTTTTTAGGTAGCTTTCTGAAAGAAAATGGACTGTCATATTGACCATTTGGTTACTGACGACGTATACATGCGTCACGAGCTTAATCATTGCTTGAAACTAATGCAATCACTAATAATATACGTTTATTAGATGCACTCGTGTACATGTCAATAGCCTTAACTAGTTCTAGCCATTTTCTGTCAACACTTAGATTGATGGATGATGCTATGTCAACATTTGATATAGCTGAACAAAGAAGTTTAGTTGACAGAAAATGTTTTCATAACATATTTCTGAATCTTGATCAAACCATGATTGATAAAAAGGTAACAAAGTAATCATTTTCGTCGAACTAATTATAGAAGACTCTTGTATTTTTCTAGTATCCAATTCATTGATTGAATATAATTGAAAAAGAAAGTAGAGTATTTCAAAAGGAGTGACATGATTACGTTATTTTCGTATTGAGAGGCTGAAGACATTTTCTTTTTTTATGTAGTGATAGAAAAAACGATGCTCTTTCCTCTGTGCTAATGGATCAATCTTCAACTGATGATATAATAATAAAATGTTGATAGCAGCTGTTGTTGTGTCAAACTTGTTCATGGTGATGAAGCTCCCTCTCTTAGAATAGTTGAAAGTTGATCTAAATAGTTTCATGAAGGTCGGAAAGAAGGTAAAGATGGAGTACGACATGGTATAGGTCAGTTACTGTGACAACAAATGAAAATATTGAACTTGGCCACCTTCTTAGTGATGTGATCGTTTTATTACAATAGAAGAAGTGGAAGAGTTAATTGGTCTGACTTACGATAACATTCAGCAAATCATCTCTAATCATTTAAAGCTTACGAAAACTATCACTCGTTATACACCGAAGCATCTAATCGATTTTCAATGGACTGATCGAGTTCGAATACTCAAACAAAGTTTATCAAAATTTAAAGAAGGAACATGGCGCTTATATCATGTGCATCAGGTGACGAATCTCGGTTTGATCATAAACAAATCGATCAAAAGCCATCAAATACTGTGCAGATAGCAAGAGAAGATTCTTCACCTACTCTAGTTCGACACAGTAAGCTTATCCCAAGAACTTAATTTTCCATTTTTTTAAAGTCCACTCGTCCTGTTCTGATTCACCACATCGAACGGGCACTAACTGCTGACCATCAGTATTATATCGACAATTGTTTGAAAACTCTCGCCGATGAAATCAAACTTCAAGGACCCTCCTTTGAAACCCTTGGTATTAAACTTCACCATGATAATGGAAGACCACATATTCATAAAGATGTGTCTAATTATCTTGAATCGGAAGGTATAACAATAATACCACAACCACCTAAATCTCCTTATTTGGCACCATATGATTTCTGCTTATTCGATATTATTAAACAGGATCTAACAATGGAGGTGTGTGTATTGATGAGCGGAAAAGTGGCACATGTTCGGGTCAAATGAAAGCTCTCAACGCCAAACTAACAAGGTTAAAATATTAGCTGCTGTTGGCTTGCCTAGAGGGAGATATTTAACTTTTAAGTG